ACCCCCCCCTCCCCCCTCTTGTTTTGTTCCACGCTAATAATTCTGTTGCAGCGATTCTAACAGATGAAACAGGCCATTAAAAAAAGGAGATCAGTAGATGTAGAGGTTGGGGATTGGGTGTACTTAAAGATCAGACCGCACAGGCATACTTCTATGTCAGACTACATCCTAAGTTTGCCGCTCAGTATTTTGGGCCTTTTCAAGTCACACAGAAGGTCAGAGAGGTGGCTTTTAGGCTCCAATTGCTAGATACCGCACCCAGTGTTCCATGTATCCCAATTGAAGAAGGCAGTGGGTGAAAGAAGTGTGGAGAAGGAATTGCCAACATACTTGTAAGTGGATGGACTGTCTTTTTGACCTATCGGAATTTTGGATAGAAGACAGATACAACAAGGGGAGGACGAGGTGCAACAAGTGTTAATGGAATGGCAAGAGGGGGGACTGGATGGAGCAACGTGGGAAGATGCAATGACTATCAAAGATCAATCCAAATTTCAACCTTGAGAACAAGGTTGAACATCAAGCAGTGGGTAATGTTAGGGGTTGGAAGGTATACGAGAGAAGAAGAAAGTATATGAGAAAAGAGGAAGGACACCGATCGGTGGAAGGCGGGGAAAGGTCGAGTCGAACGGTGGAAGGCAGTGAGGGAGAAGAAGAAGGGCACCGAACGGTAGAAGGCGAGGAGATGTTGAGCCGAACGATGGAAGGCAGTGAGGAATCGATTCGAACGGCTGAAGGCGGTGAGAGCTCGAGTCGAACGATGGAAAGAGGAAAAGAACTAGAGCCAATTGATTGAAGAGTTATTATCCTAACTGTTGGTGCAGTTAGGATGGGCAGAAAATATTTATAGTAAATAGAACCATATTATAGGAAAATATTCAGTATAAGATATTTATAGTAAATAGAGCTATATTATAGGGAAATACTCAGTATAAGATATTTATAGTAAATAGAGATATATTCTAGGGAAATATTTAGTATAAGATGGGCGAGAAATATTTAATATAAATAGAGCTAGATTTTATTGTTAGGGTTATGCTTTTGATTATTGAGGTTGTTAACAAGCGGTTATGCTCCCAACTATCCTTGTTTAGAGAATTTTATCACCATTAATAAGATAAATTCATTCTTTCATTATCTTTTTTGCCTACTGTGGTCGTGGTTAATTAGTTTCCTACTCCGAAACCTAATATGTGCATTCAAGGAACATACAACTTACCTAGTTTGGAAGAACCTCTTTGTGTGCCATAAATGAGAGAATGACATTCCAAGCCAAAGCAATAACATTAGCAGCAAGGACCTGAAATTATGTCCATTTACTTTAAACTCAACAATAACATTAATAAAAGGGAGAAGCAAATATAAGAACATTGAAGAAAGCATTAGATTCTATGGCCAAGGAATACTGTCCACAACAAATACAATCTGGTAGGGTAAGTTGAAAAATATCCACCTGAAATAGCAAGCATAACCAAAGATAGCTCCATTGCACTGATTTTAGGCATTTGAGAACTTCTCAATGTAATTAAAGATCAACTTTGAGTAAAGAGTATATGTGTGTGAGTGTGAATGTAAATGTTTGCTTTACATAAAAAAATGGAACAATGAAATGCAAACAACTGGGAAGCCTTGTCAACCGACTAAGAAGGCCAAGCAGGATCCCATTTTCTTTCATATGATAATACTTGAAAACAAGGGACCAAAAATATGAATCCAGAGATCCAAACATGTTGCAAGATGAAGACGGAAATGTTAATAAAAAGTTCCTTCATTATGTTCATTTTTCCGTTGTTGTTCAGCTAAAAAAGATTAGAAGGTAGTATGAGAGAGTGTCTATTGAAAGATCAATAGAATATTCTTTTTTCAAGAACTATGAATTTCCACGAGGAGCAATAGACTAAATAAAATCCTGGTTCGTTTAAATGAATTTCAAGAAAATTAAGCATTGGTGAAGTCAAATTAAACATTGATCTTCAATATTAAAATGCCAACATGTATCAGAGTGGTGAACAGATTTATGTTGACGTAAAATCCCCAGTGTGTGTGCATGAGTCTACCAGTCTAACCTGAAATTGTTGTGGAACAAATCTGAAGTTGAGAAATTGAAAAGGTATCCATAGTTTCCAGTTTGCTTGAACTGCAGAGAACCACTCCTACAAAATGAAATTTGTAGATGAATACACACTAATAAACATGACAACATTGATAACCACCCTTTGAATACGTTTTAATAAAAGCAAGCAAGTTAAACACACACCTGTTTTAGCTTGGGTACAGCTTGTGATGGATTTCCCTCAAGTGTCACCAACGTAGCTAAGAAAACTCCGATGAATATGGGAGAAAATAAGAGCTGTGAAAAGATTTCATAACATTCAAAATTAAACTATCACACGCAAGCACAAAATTAATTAATAACTGACGGGAGACTGGCAGTGTATTGGAGGATCAATAGAAATATCCCACCTGATCAAGTACAAGCCGCAAAAAAGCGCCTGATGCTCCAGGAAGTGTAACCAATTTACTCAGATACAAATACCTACAAATTAGAAAAAAAATATCAGGAAGAGCGATGGAATGAGACAGACTTGACAAATCGGTTAGCCTTCATCCAAACTCATGTGACCATGGCGGAAAATTTCCTAAAGATAGACACCACAGATATCAGAAATCAATCTTCATGGATTCTTCTAATAATATTCATCAGGGTAATGAATAAATATTATCAACATTATTAAAAAAAACCTACACCAACATATTGAACTTATTACTACTGTTGTTGGGTTGGGATGTCATTATATTATTCAAAGTACGGTCACAAAGTCATATTTATTAGGCTATATAAAGAGGCATACCAACATAGGTTCTAGGGAATTACCAAAAATGTAATGTTGGACCCACTAAAGTAAAACCGAGAAAAGTGAAGACAAATGTCCTCTTCAAGTCCAGTGACTGCACTTGATCTATTGCAAGCTGTAGAAAATAAGATTAAATTTATTAAAAAAATTAACATATATGAATGAAAGCATAGGCACGCAATGCTACAAAAAGTAAATTAAGGATTGACAAAAAAAGTAATCCTTTCAGAATCCATATAAAAAGTGATGAAAAATAAAGCTAGATACCATTAGCAATAAGGATAGACCCAAAATGCCTCGAAAGGCAAGAGATAAATTTCAGAAACAAAATTAAAAAAAAAAACAATCAATTTACTTCTAAGATAAATGCACAAAGTAGGGCATCCACAAGATCAGTTCTTGTTGATTTTAGAGCATAACATATTGCAACTTGCAAGCATATATCATCTTAAGGACTCTCAGTCTGTGTGACACTAGTGTAGCAGTCTGTCACCACTGTTAATAAATTTATACCAGTCTTGAGCAAATGACATAGCATGTCTAACCATGTTTGCTTTTAATTGGAAGGTAATAGCAGTAAGTCCAATCCAGCCATCAAGACATCACTTTTATTGATTGTAGCCAAAAAACTCAATGTTCAAAATATTTTCTAACTGCGAGTTTATGTAAAATCATCATAAATGTTATAAATAAACTACGCAAATTGGGTGCTGCTTGGATTTCTTTATATGCCAGTTCCGTAATCTTCATTCATGTCATAAAATCCTTTTAGAAAAAGAAAAACAACTCTTGATTCCACGAATTTGAGCATAATTCCATCTCTCCTGATCTTTTAAATTATCGGTGAAACCTTGCATGTTTGTCCACAGACAACAAGATGGCAAATTATCATAAAGCAGAGCAGTTAGCACAAAAGTAAAAACACTGCTATATTCTATGCAAAAAAGTGTCTCTATTTATATCATACATTTTGAAACACTAATAAAATATAACCAAAACAATTGAAAGAGAAAAGGGGAAAAATAGTGTAATACCTGGCAAATCAAATCACCAATTAGATTCAGAAGTGCAGAAGTTAGAGCTTTCACCGCAACAGGGTATTTTTCAAGAAGAGCCAAGTACCTGTAGTAAAACCATGTTACATTTTCAAAAGAAAGTCTATTATTCAGACATAAGGTTAAGTGTTTCTCTCACAGAGCACAAGTTGGAATCTTCTTGGCAAACACGTATAAAAGAAAAATAAAGAAACAAAAATGAAATACACTTTTCTCATAAATGATTATTATCATTTTATTGTTCTGCATGTGCTTATTATCCAAAGAAGACATCAGTAACCTTAGAAAAAAAACAAAGGGAACTTAATACATAAGGTTGCATGTTGATATTTGTTTACCATGACAACAAGGACCACTTATGTCCTCCATTGCCGCCGGCGGAATTCGAACCGCCAGAGCCACCGGAATTCGGACCGTTGGAGCCGCCGCCGCCACGAGCGCCGTTTCCGCCCGAGCCGCCGTCGGAGAGGGAAAAGAGGCGGGAATCGGGGATGCGGAGGAGGGAGGGTTTGAAGGGGGTGGCGGAGTGATTGAAGTTGAAAGGATGAGAGAGGAGCAAAGAGCGAGTGTGGAAGTGAAGGCGCGTGGCATGTTGACGACAGAGGTTGAGATTAAGGACACGGTAAGCGAGTGGGAATTTGTGTACGTGGAAGCACAATGCTCCATTCACCATTTTCTTTTCAAACGGAATTTGGGCTCTGAAACGATGGATACCCAAAAGCTGCAGTCTCTCACCACTTTGATGGCAGGTTTGAACAAGTTGGGGAAAGGACACCCAAAAAAAAATAAAAAATATTACCGTTTATTCCTTTAAGTTTAGTTTAGGTTTAAACCCTCCTTTGGTCCTCAAATTTATATGAAAATCTCGATCTTCGTTTTTTTATCTGTTTCAATTGGGTCATATATTTTTTTTTTGTAAAAATGAGCACATTATACCATAACCGTTAAGTGGTGTGAGACGGCGTTAGATTGATATGAGCTGGTGCACAAAGAATGTGGTGATGTGTGTTGATGACTTACGTGGACTGTTTTGATTAAATAAATAGTGCTGATGTGGCATAAGTACCCTTTATTCATTTTAGGTATATCAGAATTAGGGATTTGAAATTGGAATTGGGGATTTAATTTCGTTGTTGCGAGACGAAGCGGAGGACGAACAACAACTTCAATCTTCAAGAAGACGAAGAGAATCCAGCCGATAGTTGACGCGACTAAGGTAAGATATTTCGTTTCGTCTTTGGTTTTCTGTTTGAACGCATAACTGTGATTTTGGTTTTACGAACATGTGCATCTTCGAGATTTGGGTTTTTGTCTTGGTCTGTAAGAATTTTTATAATGATTTGTGGTCCCCATTTTGCATGTTGAATTGTTACATTGTAGTTTTACACATTGTGGTCCCGAATTTTGTTTCGTTGATTGTTTATCAGTTGTAGTGTCCCCTGTCAATGAGTGTTTCGTTAGTGGGGATTTACTTTGTTCCCTGTCCCCCCGTCTGTGTCGGTGTGAGTGTTTAGTTTAGTGAGTGGAGTGTTTCCGTAGTGAGTGAGTAGTGTTTCAAAAGAGTCCTGGTTACTAGATATTGTTACCAAGGTAACTTTTATGATGTGTGTTTCCATTCATGTTAACTTTGATTCCATTTATAGTGATCCATCTAATTGTGTGTTGAATTTTGTATTACATTCAATAAAAAATTATTTGAAGTGAAACATCTTTCACAATTTGGTGAGCAATTTGTGTTAATGTGACAACATGGACTGCACATGTAGAAAATGGGCAATTAACTGGGCATTCCTGTTTACTCATGCCATCACTGCAATGAAATTTTGAATATAAAGGCAAAGAAGAATACATTGGGCACTGGTTTATGAAGTCTCTTATAAGTAGACCTTACAACACAATAATTACCCTAATCAACCGGACAACATGGTCTGGGATGTAAACACGCTTATTTCAGATATATTACCACCAAATGAATAGGACCAATGTCAGGAAGACCAAGGAAAACGAAGACTAGGGTGGCAAACGCAACTATTTGTACTGTACTCTCAATCTATTACCATTAACTATAAATAGTTTAAAAAAAACTGAACTGCACTAGAAAATAGTTCAACAAAAAAACTGCACAACTAAACTATTTTTTTAAGTTCAGTTAACTCAAAACAATTCAGTTACTACAATCAAGACCCCTGTTTCTAATAATAAATGTAGTTTTGCCTTGTTACAACTGGCAATGGCTAATTATCGATGATTTCAAAGAATTAGTTTCAATTTGATTTTTTTAATTGACAAACAAATAAATTAATAGTCAATAACATCACCTCATTTAAAAAATTAAATTATAAATCTTATAATAGAATTAGTAAATAATTATAATAAAAAATTTAAAAAAATAAGTAATGAATATTATTGGTAGCTATTTTATCATATTATTAAAATTAAATTTAATAACTATAATTATTTTATCATTACTATTTATTATTAATTTAAAAATATAAAATGTCCTAACATTTTTGATTCTCATATAAATATATTTTCTTTAATAATATCATTGTTATATATTATTTTAATATAGATAAAAATCTTAATCTCTAAAAATTTTCTTTTATGTCTGTTTTGCTTATTCGAAATATTTTTAATGTTTGACAATTATCTAGTTTAAATATAAAAACTCTCATCTTTCTTTCTTCTCTTTCCACCCTTTTCATGAATTCTCATATATATATAATATTATATTTTATAATTATTTACATAATGTACTTTTATCTTTTTATTTTTACAATTATAGTGAATTTTATAAGTTATCAAATTACTTACCAGTTTTTGAAATCTAATTACAAATCTAATAAAATTATTTTTTTTTAAAATATATAATTACATTTTAGTATAAATGTAAATAATCTCATTTTATTTAATAATTTTATATCATAATAGTTAACTTTTTAAGACGACTTGAAAAAACACATTTATTTATTATCTATATTAATAAATTTTTGAAATCTAATAAATTTTTACGCTACATATACTGATCTTGCTTATATATTAATAATAGTGATATTTGTTTTTTTTATAATAAAAAAAAAAAAATACTATCATTGCTTACACACACCAAATAGAAAAATATACATATATACTTGTATTATATTTTATAATTATTTTCTCATACACCTTTTACCTGTCATTTTACAAATAATTTTTCGTTTTTATAATTAAAATAATTACCAATTCATAATCACATTTAATAAAATTTAGTTTCTTTTTAAAATATATAATGAATTTTAACTATAAATTTAATAATATTATTTTATTTTAATAATTATTATATTTAACTTTTTAAAGAACGTTTTATTTATTTATTTATCCATAATATATATATAATCTAATATATATATATCTCTCTCTACTCTCTCCTCTCTCTCCTCTCTCTATCTCTCTCTCTCTCTCTCTCTATCCTTTTCTTCCTTTCCCCCATCCTTATCGGCATTCATATTAACAAGTATCCAATTTAGTTCTTTGAAATAGATACTGAAGTTTAGTATGACTTTCCTAATATTCATTTTATTTTTAATCAGTATTATCATTAACGTTTTCCAGATCCCTTAAAACTAATATTTTATTTATTTATTCTATTACTATATATAAATATATATATCTCTCTCATATATATATCTCTTTCGTTTTCTCCTTTACCCCCTCCTTATCGATTCATACTTATACTTTACATAAAATTTAGTTTTGTTTACAATATATAACTTTTTAGTCTCCTTTACTCCCTTATTTTACTTTTCCATACTTCCTTACTCTCCTTTTTCACAATCCTTTACAAACAGTCTTTCATTTCCTTTCTCTCTATTCTATATATATATTATCGTATATTTACTTTTATTCATTTCACAACTCATTCTTGTTTATACTTTCCATTTCCTAGAATTTAGTTCTTTCCCAATATTTACTGATTTTGGTCTCCCTTTCCTCTATATTTTCTTCTCTCCTTCTTCTAGTTTTCCCTTTTCTTCCCGTTCCGTTCTTTCTTTTATTTGCCCTAGTATATATATATATATATATATATATATATAATCTAAAAGAATAGTTCAATGTTTATTTATTTTGAAGAAAAAAAACAAAACAACATAGTTCAAGTTTAACAACATTTAACTATACTCTTTAATAGAAAAAGTTTAGTTTTTTTAAACTGCAAAAAAACCAAAAACAGTAATTCAGTTTTATAAAAACAGTTCAGTTTTTATAGTTACAACATGTATAGATTATCATAGTTTACTGTACCCTAAGTTAATTATCCCAGACCCCCCTTGACGAAGACCAGAGGATTGGGAGTTGAAGAAAAATAACAGTGAATTAAGAAAGGGTGGGCAGAGGAAAAGATGTGCCATCTACAAAGAACTTGGACACAACAGAAAAGGTTGTCCACAAAGACCTCCAACAATACAGGTTCCTACTGCCCAATCTGTACAAGTCACCCAACCTCCAACAACAGATGTTCCTATTACTCACCAAACAACTATGCCTTTATCTGATGAATGATGTGATCAATGATCTAATGTACTGAACTTATTTATATTTTGTAGGCAAATGTTTTGGCTCTATTCCTTTGACACATTCTGTTATGATTAATTGTTTATGATGTAATTTTGGATATGTAAGACAATGTTGTTATCATTTTGAACAGCTTCTGTTATGATGTAAGACAATGTTTGTGGTTATGAGAAAGTGATTACTGCCCAATTTTGTTATCACTCATCAACTTTATTGGTCATTGCTTTATGATGTTTCTCATTATTCCACTTAGTCATGATTTTGCTTTATGATTAATTCACTTAAAGTAACAATATAATTAAATGAAATTAAATGACACACATTATCACTGTAATAACTCACCTTCATTAATAAAACACATATTACATATAAGCCAAGTTTGAAGTTTGATAACAGATGACACATCATCAACCAACTTTCACCAACATTGCTAATACAATTACATTCAAAACAAATATGACAAAACAATCATCCCCACTAACAATTTCAACCACTTATCCAACTTAACTAAACTTTTCTCTATAAAACCCAGTCTGATCTTTTCACCATATCTTTCTTCCATCTGCAACACATTGTCTTCCATGCTCATCACACCCAATTCTTCATTTCTTACACTACGAATCCTTTCTTCTACATTTAGCCCATTTCCTTCATTTCCTTCTTCAATGCACCACTCAAAGAAGTTGCAACCAACCAATTCTCCACTCCCACCCTGTTCAACAACAACACACACTCCTTCGCCAAAACCCAAATAAATAGACATAGATTTATGGTTATATCAAACTGACCTTGAAGTTAGGGCAACTCCAGAATTTTTTTCCCTTGTTTTTAGGGGTTCTCGCAATACAAAACACTGCTTTGTGACCACAGAGGCATGTTGGTTTTGCATCCAACCTCCTAACAGTGCTTGCCCAAGACGTAAGACAACAGGTGTGCTTCGCCAAGACGAAACACGAAAGACGTTCCTCCTCTCCTTCCCCAACACGAAAATATCAGACTGGGATTTAACTGAAATCAAAGGTGTACATCTATTTTGTTAATTTCAATGGCAAGTTAAAGGAAGGGTCTTTTAAAATGATAATAAAATCTTAAACATCAATTAAGATAAAATTAGATTTAATTAACAAATTTTTTATTTATTTTATTCAATTTTGTTACACCAATTATTAAAAGATCCAATTTGGTTAAAAGCAAATTCAAAATTTAAATAATT